GTAGAGATTTTCAACAACAAAATGGTGGGGACGTGGGGAGAGAAAGTGGAATGGAAAAAGCATGAACAGAGAGACTCAAAGCCCAAATTAAACTCACTGCTGTCTTGTTGATTCCAGTTCACAGTGGCCTCACAGGGCAGGGTAGAACTGCTGCTGTGGGTTTCTGAGAGTAGAAAGCCTCAACTTTCTCTGGCAGCGAGGCAGGTGGTTTCGAACTATTGGCCTTGCAGTTAGCAGCCCAATGCATAACCAGTACACCACGATGCCACCAGATGAGGATTCATCTTGCTTTTTGAATTGCTTCACCCAAGCTCAGAGACTCAAATGATTCCTCTGGATCCCCAGGCGATTCTTACATATACATAAGATCTGGTTAGAATGCAGATTCAGATTCCGCATACCTGGGTGGGGAGGCAAATTCTCAGCAGGGGATCAGACCCTGGCCAAATGGATGGTTTTTCAGTTTCCCAAGTAATCATGATGACTGCATTGCGACGACATCGCGGATTCCTAATTAGTACGACTGGTGTTAATTCTAAAATTAACCTTTGGGAAGAGGCCTGTTGGAATGAAAACCTTCTCAGAGACATTGCCTTTCCATCCCTTAATCTGAAAAGTCTGACTTTTTATTAGTTTTGACTGCATTGCCATTTATTTTTGCTTGAGACTAAACACACACTTTGTAATCGTGCGTGCTACACCTTTTGCCAATGGGTGATGCGTACACCCTTGCACAGTCTGACTTGGAAGTGGGGATCTGGTTTCCCTGACAAAATAGGGTGTTTGAGAGGCCGATCTGAAATGGCGGCCTACTTCTCTGACATTCCTGCCTGCGTGTCAGCCAAAGTGCATTGGCTGTCACCCCTCTTGAAGACAGGGCCCTAGTGTCTACTGGCCATTTCTTCTACACAGGAAGACCTGGCCTATGTTCTGAAGGGCCTCCAAGATGGCAGGGGATCGGAAGGGGATGAGGATCAGGCCAGAGGAGTTAGAATTGGACAGAGGGAGCTCTAGAACCATCAGAGTCCCAGCATGCTCCCAAGACACAAAGGGAGAAGAAACCCCTTTCTTCCGTCTGGGGCGAGCCTGGCTCAGCTGTCCAGAGAAAGGATATTTGAGTTGGCATTTCACAGACCAGTCATACAGACCAGGTAAAGTCAAGGGTGGAGGACAGGGTGAATGAAGGAAGGCATTTTTATCAGGGTAAGGAGCAGGGAGACCTTGGGCCTTGGGGGTGGTAGGAGGCTGTAGGGAGGTGGGGCACTGGCCCCTAAGGAGGGGTCCCATCAGCAGCTTGCCTCTGTGTGCCCTCTCTGAGTTGCTCTTTTCCAATTGACAACAGAACACTATGGCAAATACTGCTTTAGAGGGATTAGCAAGGCTTAGTGTAGAGACATAAGCAGTCTTTGTTCCCCCTGGGGGCTTTCAGCCCACGTTGCCTCCTGCACTCCTGTTTCTGTGGTGCTCCACCTTTATCCCTTCCTGGCACTGCCAGAAAAGCCTCAGTGGAGGCTCAAGGGCTGGGTCTCTTTATCTTCTGAAAAATAGAAATGACAAAGGGACCAATCATTTTCCCCAAGAAACCCCAGCAGATTGGAATGGCTTATCATCTTGGGGGTTCTCACAAAATCTATCTTCTTGAAGATCTGAAGGCAAGAGGGCTTCCATGGTTAGCCTGGAATTGGCTTTGCAGCCTGAAGTGGAACATGGAGTCTCTGGCTTGCTAACATGCATGCTGACATTGTGTTATCCAGGCCAGATGAGTGAAGATCAGGCGGTTTCGGAAAGCTCAGGGAGAAAGGGAAGGGAAAGATAATGAAAATCCCCAAGGATTTTCTTTGGCCTCCCGATATGTTCCTATCACTCCAGGAAAGGTCAGCTTGGAATGGCCTTGCTTTATGTCCAATGGAAAATGTTCTTCTTGACTTTCAGAAATCTTCTGGCCATAGTTGCATTTCCCAGCCCAGCCGAAGGCCTTTGCTGTTGTTGTGGTTCTCATTCCTCAGTCCCTCGGGAGCCTGGACGAATGCGAGTGCTTGCTTCACAGAGAAGCATGTAGAAACAGAAAAGATACATCTGTCTTTTACTCACTCTGAGGAGCCCCTGCTACTTGGGGATCTGCGAGAAAATGGAATCAGAGGTTTCTCAGAGAAGAGGCCTGTATCTGTAGGACTTCTCCAGAGAAACCAAATCTATGTGTGTGCGTGTGTATGCTTTTGTATACTACTTATTTTTACATGCTCTGTATGTATATAGAGGAGCCCTGGTGGTGTAGTGGTTATGCGTTGGGCTGTGAGCTGCATGGTTGACAGTTCAAAACTACCAGCAACTCTGAGGAACAAAGACATGGCTTTCTACTCCTGTAAATAATTGCAGTCTCAGAAACACACAGGGGGTCACTATGAGTAAGCATTGGCTCAATGGCAGTGAGTTTGAGTTTTATATATGTATATAAAAAAGAATGACAATCTCTGAATCCCACAGGGAATAATTCTACCCTGTCCTATAAGGTTATCTGAGTCACAATTGGCTTGATGACAGTGAATTTGGTTTAGGATATATATATATATATACACACACACACATATATAATCATACATGTATACAATCTTATATATGTATGCAAAATATTATATATTTATATCTCCAAAATATCATATATAAAAATTATATATACATCATTAGAATTTATTTATATACACCAAAAACTCTGACCTGAGCTCTCTGCCATCGAGGTGATGCTGATATATACATATATATCGAGAAGGAACTTGGTCAATTGATTATTGACTTGATGGAAATTGTCTAAAGTGATTTTGGGGGTCTGACAAGTCTGCAGTCTGTAGGACAGGCAGGATCTCTTCATGATGGACTTTTCTCTCCCGGAAATCACATTTTCTTTCTCAGGCCTTCAGCTCATTGGCCGAGGCTTTGCCCAAATTAGCAGGGTTATTTCCTTTTCCTGAGCATCAACTGACTGTGGTTGTTCATCCCACATACAACAGAGCTGCACAACAACACTCACGCTAGTGTCCGAGCCAACAACTGGGACACACAAACTGAACCAGTCCATGCTGCCTCCTGGCAACCGCATGCCACCGAGCAGGACGGCTGAATGGGGCCCCTACTGCGGTCTTCTGCACCAAAGAGAAGACCACCACGTGCAGAGAAAGTGCCCGCTCCTTGCTAAACTAGTTTGGCTTTGTATATTATCATGCATCCTAGAATGGATTGGGATGCCCGACGTCATAAAGGTAGAGAGGCCAGCAATACCTGGCAGAGGGGGGCGGGGCTGCAGGAAGAAAAGGCAGACAGCAATCTGAAAGGCTCTGCAGACAAATCTCTGGCTGAGTTTTGTGGCTAGAGGGAGGAAGAGGGGCAGGAGGAAAAACAACCATGCTCAGATGCCCTCCCTGGTTGAAAGACGCACGAGGCAGGCTCTGTTTCTCCCACCTCCTTCCCTTCTCTTGATCCCTACTTCTGAAGGCATTGAACTAGCAATGAAAAGACTGCTTTGTTCCAGCAAGCATGATTTCAGTGAGTGAAAGATGAGGATGAGTCATGATTGGGTGTGGCGGTACCTTGCGCACCATGAGCTCAGCCATGAAGCGGAGAACACATTAAGTAAATCCCATTCAGTTATTCTTTGCTTTTGCTTATTTTTCTCTCGGGGCCCCAGGGAAGGGTAAGAATTCCATTATGTACATTTCTGTCCGGAGCAGAATATAATTCATCATCCTCTCCAAAAGGGTGTAGGCTGCAGAGACGAGAGAGACCAGCTCGTTCACTCCCCCCATGTTCCAGTATGATCCCAGCAGGAAGCCTACCTTTCAAATAGTATTGTCCTGCTGCCCCCCCCCCGCCAATGTTTAAAAAAATAAAATTATAGGATAACATATAAAATCAAGTTTTCTGCCACCAGGTCAATTCCAACGGGGTCATTCTATACAACAGCCCAGAACTGCCCCATAGGGTTTCTAAGGCTGTACATCTTTACAGAAGGGCCACCTCTTTCTCCTCTTGGGCAACTGGTGGGCTTGAACCAGTAACCTTTCCATCAGCAGTTGAGCACTTAATTTCCGTGCCACAAGGGTTCTTGTAAGGAACCCAAACCAAAAAACAAAACCAAATTCACTGCTATACAGTCAATTCAGTTCTGACATATGGAGACCCGTGTAAGACAGGAAGTACTGTCCCTGCGGATTTTGGGAGACTAACTCTTTACTGGTGTAGAAAGACTCATCTTTCTCCCTCCAGGCAGCTGATGTTGTGTTAGCATTCCAACACGTAACCTTCAAGATAATATATACAGCGCCCCCCTCCCTTTTAAATCATTGTATTGAGTGCTCGTGCAACTCTGATCACAATCTCTCCATCCATCCATTGTGTCCAGCGCATTTAAATCCTCAACATAGAAATATGGAGACACAAAAGTGTAAGGAGACTACATTTCTTCTCATCTCTATTTCAGGGAGGATAATTGGTGTTTTTCGATATGCACATAGGTGCACACATATACATATACTTTTTTATATATGTAAATGGGAAACTGCTTCTTTGAATGAAAACTTTTTCCTTGTTGCTGTATCCTTTCGTATCTTGCCGTGGCCGGTCTGAGCTTGCACCCTGTGAAGCAAATACCAGCTATGGGTGAGGATTGAAGGCAACTTCAAATCTCAGCTGCCTTGTGGCCTTAGATTCTTTGCCTCAGTTTCCTCATCTGTAAAACAGGAGGGTGAGGGCATTTATCACGTAGCTGTGTTGCCAGGATTAAGTTCAACTTAAAGCCAACAGCAGAACTTCTGGAACCAGGGTGGCCCCGGGACACATCAACTTTCACATAGAGTACACTAAAGTGTGCACACACAGACATACACACACACACAGACACACACACACAGCTTGCCTGTCATCTCAGACTGTTGGAACACTTTACTCTTCACGCCACAGACTCGAGGATCCCTTAATGAGTCACCTGTTTCTCATTTGTATCTCCACAGGAGGGCACTGCGAGCTGCACAAGGACCCCTGTGCCAACGTCAGCTGTCTGAACGGGGGCACGTGTGACAGCGAAGGGCTCAACGGCACGTGCGTGTGTGCACCGGGCTTTGCAGGCAAGTGATGGGGCACTGAGCTTCCTCCTTTACCACGAGGTCCCCAAGATCACAGATGGTAGAAAAGGAGCCCCTCCCTGTGCATAAGGGACTTCAAAGTACCACGGGCAAGTGCAGCCGGCATTGCTTGGGTGAAAATCCACTTTAAGAGGACGGGCTGTGTTCTCAGCGGACTCAGCTTCTCTGAAGTCCGCTCTGGGTACTTGCTCTTGCAGAGACAGAGGCTGCCAAAGCCAGAGTGTCAAAGCTTGAGAGAGAAGCCATGATGCGAATACCTGTAAAAGGACCCTGTTCATGGAAGTAAGAAGAGGAAGAGAATGATCACGCGTGCTTTCTCGAGAACTGCATCCAGCTTCCTTCCGGTTGTTTTACTGAAAGACGTAAAAGTGATAGGGTTTTGTTGACGCCGGGAAGTAGGGAGAGATAGTCCACGCACAGGGTCTATGGTTTGTGAAAGTACAGGGGCTGTGTCGTTAGGTTTCATCCGCTTGGCTCTGCTTTGTGGCCCCTTTATGGACAACAGAATGAAAGGATGCGCGGCCCCGTACCGTCTGTACAACCGTTGTTATACTTGAATGCATGGCTGTGCCCCTGTGTTCTTTGATTGATGCCCAACCTAGAGACTCCTCTTCCCGCGCCCTATCCCTGCCATCTCGTGACCGATAGGGTTTTTCATGGACTGAGTTTTGGGAGTAAACCAGCAGGCCTTCTTCTGAGTCTGTCCACTAACAGTGACCCTCTTTGTCCTTGAAATGCTGGTAATTTCAGTGGTTTCTAGGTTCCACTGAGTCGGTTCTGACCCATAGCCACCCTATGCACCCCGGAACAACACACCCTGCGTGGCCTTGCACCCTCCTCACCATTGTCTCTCTGCCGGAGTGCACTGCTGCAGCCACTGTGCCCATCCATCTCATTGAGGGTCTTCCTCTTTTTGCTGCCCCTCTGCTTCACCAAGCATGCTGTCCTTCCTTATCAGCTCCCCATGACCCCCAATCTCCCCTGCTATAGCCCTATGGAGTTATTGATCTAATTACAGTTTCTATGGATTTACCTATCCTGGATTTCATGTGGAGAAAATCATACAAAAACCCCCAACCACAAAAAACGAACTAGAACACAGAAGGACCTCCACCCAAGAGAAAGCAGACGATAACAGAAACTAGAACACATTAAACGTGGGTGGTAAGGGACAACAAGTGATAAGATTTAAATGTCAACTCACCGTCTCCGCAGTACTCCCCTTTCCGATGCACTCTGCTTGAGCGCAAGACTATTCACGTCTCCAGTCGATGGTGTGAGGGAGTTCAGTGGAGGCGATGTCTGCACGGAGACTCGGCAGGTGGATTTTGTTTTTTTTCTGCAAGCTGGGTACTCGGAATTTAAGCTCTAATCTTAGATTTTATTGTTTAAAAATCCTTGGATTACCTAGGTTGTGCACTCCTTCCATTCCACTTTGGGTCCTGTATGGTTGACTTTTGGGAGGATGACATTCTCCATAGATATTATTATCATTATCATACTACAGATCTGTCTGTTGCCTGTCTGGAAAGTAACTCCCAAGGGTGGGTCCAGTTTTGAAGGGTATCTAGAGGCCATGGTCTTGGGGGTTCCACCAGTCTCTATCAGACCAGAAAGTCTAATCATTTTTATGAATTTCAATTTTATTCTACATTTTTTTCTCCAATCCTGCTCATGGCTTTCTACTGTGATCCCTATCAGAGTAGTCAGTTTTGATAGCTGGGCATCATCTATATATTTTGGTCTCTGTGGGAAGAAAAGATACAATCTTTTCTTCAGAATATTTAGCAGATCTTCAACTGCCCATTCAACATCTTCTCTTGGTGTTGCAAAGACACCCCAAGGTCGTAGGGGTTCTTCTCCTTTCTTCCTTGTAATATTTGCCAGCTCATTATATGATATCATTATCCCCCCAAAGAACCCTGGTCATGAAGCAGAAATGTGCTCAGCTGCTAACTGAAAGGTGGTGCTGCAGCAGAAAGACCTGGTGATCCATTCTATTAGAGATGACCACCGGAAACCCTACGGAGAAGCTCTGCTCTGTCACACGGGATCTCTAAGTCAACATCAATTCAATGGTATCAACCAGCAATCAATCAAACAAACAAAAGTACTGCCATCGAGTTGATGGTGACAGATCAGTGTGGTACCAGTGAGTTTTTGAGACTGAAACTGTTTGCACGAGTAGAAAGCCCCATCTCTTTCCCGAGGAGCAGCTGGTGGTTTTGAACTGCTGACCTTGCAGTGAGCAGCCCAACTCATCACCCTTAGTCCAAGAGGGCTCCATCACCAACAGCAACTATCATTTCAAGTTATTCTGGCTGAAAACTGGGAACCATCGTGATGATCTCTTCCTCATCCTCACCTGCACATAACGAACAAGGTTCCCTGAACAACACTGAGCATGTTTCAGCTCTTTCCGGAGCCCGTACCTGCCCGCCTTCACCTCCTGCTTGCCCCAGTGTGAACCCTTCTAATTGAATTTCCACACCTCTCCTTCCCTTACAAATTCATTCTCCACTTAGGAGAGATCTTATAAAATGGACATTGAATCTTTTTTTATATAAAATGGTAATTGAATCCCTCCCTGCTTATAACCTCATATTGGCATTCCATTGTCCTTAGGAAAAAGATTACACTGAAGGACAAGGGAAGAGCAAGTGATCTAAAATCTATGGCAAGGAGGGCATAGGATGCCTGGGGTGGGGGAAGGGGGCTTCATCAAGGGCAATGTAGCCCAGAGGAATTACTGAAACCTGAACAAATACTGAGCATGATAAAGGGACAAGAGGAAAGTAAAAGGAAATAGAGGAAAGAACTAGGAGGCAAAGGACATTTATAGAGGTCTAAATAAAGGCATGCACATATGTAAATACATTTACATATAATGATAGGGGAATAGATCTATGTATACATATTTATTTATAAAGTATTAAGGCAGCAGATGGACATTGGGCCTCCACTCAAGTACTTCCTTAATTCAAGAACACTGTTCTACTAACCTGGCACCCTGTGATGCTCACCTTCCCTGACATGATTGCTGAAGACAAAATCAGTGCATAAGCAAATGTGGTGAAGAAAGCTGATGGTGCCTGGCTATCCAAAGATATAGCGTCTGGGGTCTTAAGGGCTTGAAGATTAACAAGCATCTATCTAGCTGAGAAGCAACAAAGCCCACATGGAAGAAGCACACCAACCTGTGTGATCATGAGGTGTCCATGGGATCAGGTATCAAGCATCAAAGACACAAAACAAAACAAAAAAATCATGTTGATGTGAATGTAGAGGGGGTGGGGCATAGTGGAGACCCAAAGCCCATCAGTGGTCAATTGGACATCCCCTGTCAGAAGGGCCACAAGGAAGGGACTAGCCAGTCAGGGTGCAGTATAGCACTGAGGAAACACACACCTTTCCTCTAGTTCTTAAATGCTCCCCACATATGATGACCCCATTTCTACCTTACATATCTGGCTAGACCAGAACATGTACACTGTTACAGATAAGAGCTTACATCACAGGGAATCCAGAACAGATAACTGCGTCCCGTTTCCCCCCCCCCACCACCAATAACGAGAGTCGCAATATTAGGAGGGTAGGGGAAGGGTGGGTGAGGGAGTAAGAGGAAACCAATCACAGTGATCAATATATAACCCCCTGCCAGGGAGACAGACAACAGAAAAGTGGGTGAAGGGAGGCATTGGTCAGTGTAAGACATGAAAAAATATCTATATATAAATTATCAAGGGTTCGTGAGGGAGGGGAAAATTGAGGAGCTGATACCAAGGGCTCAAGTAGAAAGAGTTTTGCAAATGATGATGGCAACATATGTACAGATGTGCTTGACACAATGGATAGATGTATGGATTGCGATAAAAGCTGTAAGAGCCCCCAATAAAATGATTTATTAAAAAAAAAAGAAAGAAGAAGATTAGAATCCCTAACTGGGACTTCAAGGCCCAGGCAGTCCCTCCAGCCTTGTCCTGGGCACCACTGCAGTCACCATCGCAGGTTCCCGCCTCCAGCTCCTGCCTCCCAGCTCTCCTGCTCCCTGATCAGTTAGCGCTCCGCATGTGCATTCATTTCTTTTCCCTCTGACGCCTGATGTAGTTTGTCTCATTCATTGCAGTAGGGTCAAAGGCCACCCTGACTGATCTGTGAATTTCCCCAAACTCCTGATGTTTCAGCCAGCAGAGGGCCATAGACGATCCCCTAAGGATGTGGGGAGGGTCATGCTAGCAATGCTCCTTATGGACACTGGTTTCACACGATGCCTCATGAGGAAAGGACGCCCGTATCCCAAGATCAAGGGAGGAGCCATGGTGGGTTACACATTGAGCTGCTAAACACAAGATCAGAGGTTCCAACCCACCAGCTGCTCCTCTGGAGAAACGTGAGACTTTCTGTGTCTGTAAAGATTTATGGCCTCAGAAACCTCCCCCAGGGCAAGTTCTCTTCTCCCATCGGGTCGCTCTGAGTCAGAATTGTTCAGTGACAGTGAGTTCATGTTTTGTTTTGTTTTTTGTGGGTTTTTTTTTGGTACACTTTTTGACACTGCTGCCCACATTCAATTGTGTTCACTCTGTGCATTATTCTTGTAAGAACCTTAAAAAATTATGAATGTGCTCCTCCCCCACCTTCCCTGAACATCTGTGATGGTTTCAACCCTTTTAATTCTACATGTGTTATACATGCCAAAGACTTCATGGCTCTTCCTTTTAACTTAAACAATCACACATCGTGTGTATATATGTGTGTGTGTGTATAGATAGATAGATAGATAGATAGATAGATAGATAGATAGATAGATAGATAGATAGATAGATAGATAGATCTTACATGCATGAGGGGGCTTTGAAAGGTCATGGAGTAATTCTGTTCTCTCTTAATTCCATTTCCCACAAATTCTTCTGCCTATAGGGTCACTCTATTCAGAACTCCTCAATGGGAGTGGGTTTTAAGTGGTGAGTGGCATCAATCGGTGGCATTACTGAACAGAGCTCAGGTTAATTTCTTGGCTAAGGCCGTGTCTGCAGGATTCTGTCTTGTTGAACCACCCGGTGAAAGCTCCCGATTCAGTACCAGTGTTTACCAAGATCGGTGCTGTGTGGACTCTGCTTCTCCTTCTCCTTCTTCTTTTTCTTCTTCTTCTTCTTCCTCCTCCTCCTCCTCCTCTTCTTCTTCTCTGGCATTTTCTAATTTATCCTAGAAAAGATGCAGCATTAAGTGGCACACTTGTTAATTTGCATAGGAACTACTAAATGTGATTCCTCTAAAAAGCAGTAGGTTAGAAAGAAGAGATAAAATGCCCTAAACTTCAGCTCCTGCTTTTCCATTTCTGCCAAGAAGAAATATCTTTTGTTCTCTCCATACGTGTTATTCCAGCACAGCAATGATGCAAAAATAATTGATTTTTCACCCACTCACATGTTAAAAAAAATAGGCAAGTCCATAGGTCAGTTGGCTCTGTCCAGTATAAAGATGCCCGAGGCAATTGTTAGTACAGGGAGATCATATCATATACTAAGAACTCCTCTGATGAAAAAGCTGGGGTGCATATTGGTTGGAAGTGAAATGGGGAATCTCAGAAAAAAATGCATAAAAAGCATGATACTCTCAAGAGGGGAAACATGAATGAAACCAAGCTTGCTCTCAAGAGTTCAGGTTACAGAGGCAAACATCTTGCATAGGACTGAGGGGAAACGCAGGCCGTTCACTGGAAAAGGCCCTGTGATTAAGCACTCACCTGCGAACTAGAAGGCTTGCAGTTGGAAAGGGCTCTTAACCTACCCCCTTAGAGGAAACCAGTTCTCCTCTACCGCATGGCTTTTCTCTGTATCAGAGTCTGCTCGGCAGCACCAAACCACCCCATAATGCCGAGAACAGTAGCTCTTTTGGGGGATTTCTCCTCAGAGAATCCATTGAGTGGCTCCATCTTCACGCATTCCATTTTCCTGCCTCCAGCATGGGGTGTGGTGACGGCCCTAAATGGAGACCCACTGGGAGACCACTGATTACTTCCCCAAACTACGTTAGAACGCCTTGGAGATCCAAGACAGTACAGTCTGGCTGTCCTGGCCCTGGAATTCCGCACTTGTCTCCCCAGGGAAGCTCTGACCCAAGAGCAGGCTTCGGGACTACCCAAACCCAAAACCCCAACTCACTGCCACTGAGTCCGTTTTGACTCATGGCGACCCTATAGGGCTGAGTAGAACTGTCCCCTGGGAGTTACCGAGCCTTTAACTCTTTGCTGACGTAGAAAGCCCCATCTTTCTCCTGAGGAGCGACTGGGGGGGCTCTCAAACTGCTGAGCTCATGGTTAGCAGGCCAGGGCTCATAACTACTACGCCACCAGGGCTCCTGTAAGGACTGTCCGGGGTTTAAAAATCAAAAGGGTTTGGTGCTGACATGGGACTTCATGGGGCAGAACGGGCCTTTGCAGGGGCCCAGGCTGTAGAAATAAGAGACAGACAGCCCGCTCCTGTGGTAAAGGCTGCTGGACATCTTACTTCAGAATGTAGTCTCCAGAGAGTCTGTAAAGACAGCTCCTGTTGAGGAAATCCCTTAATTAAGCTCGCCTACCTAAATGGTTGGTGATTTGAGCTGCTATGTGTATTTCTCAGGGCACCTGATTTCACATCTTCAACGTTTCTCAGCATGCTCTTGTTTGCTCTCTTCAACTGGTCCACCTTGTAACGCCATTCTCAATAGGTTATTCTGTGCCCTCTCCCTCTCCCTCTCAGAGTGATTGCCCCGTTAATAGAGAGACAGCCTCTGAAATAGGTTCATAAGAGGTAATCAATTCCATGGCTCTTCTTTTTTTTTTTAAATCATTTTATTAGGGGCTCATACAACTCTTATCACAATCCATACACACATCAATTGTGTAAAGCACATTTATACATTCATTGCCCTCATCATTCTCAAAACATTTCCTCTCCACTTAAATCCACGGCTCTTCTATTGGCGTAAAAGACTGTATTTCTGGCCAGAAAACACATTCGCTCAGATACTCCTGAATCATCACCAAGCTGGTAGGAGCTCCACATTGTAAATGTTAGGCTCGTCAGATTTTGCTTTAAAAATAAAGGCGTCAGATGCCAGGGATGGAGAGAGTGTGAAATGGAACCAACCGCCGTGCGATCTCCTAGCAGGAGAGCAGTCTGGGATGGGTGGGGCATCTGGTGGGTTTTGTAAATGTGAGGTAAACCCACAGTCCAAAGAAAGCACATGGTGCCCACTCCATAAGACTGGAAGTCATGACCCAAGGAGACATGAAGTTATTGCCTTTTGAACATGGGCGGGCCCTTTGATGTTCTTCATTGCTTTTCCCTGTGATACCGCAGTGCTTGGCATTTAATTTTCATCCTTCTGTTCAGAGATTAGGCAAACAGAGAAGTTAAATTTTTTTTCTTTTGAGTTTCAAACATTTAAGAGAGAGAGCCAAGACGGAAAACCACACCCTCCTATCCAGTTTGTCCAAGAGGTCTCTCCAGTGAAGAAACATTTTCATTCCTACGTTGGTCCCTAGCGATAGCCACGTGATCCCGGGAAGATGGCTTTCTTTGTCCCAGTAACTTCTGTGAATGCCCGTGGATGTTTGCGTGGCAGTGATGGCATCGGTCCTGGGTTCTGCTTCTGTCTCACAGGCGCAAGGATGCCTTGAGAAGTTGGGTCAGGAGATGGCACAGCCTAGGGTCATGGTCTGCCTCCCTGAGGGAGGGCACACTCTGGGGGCTGGGAGCTTCCATCTGGATACCATTTCCCTGGGAAGGGGATTTTAAATCTCGGCTAACTCCAGATCCCACAGCAGCCTCCCTTTAGCTGAACCTGCTGCTCTCAGTTCCCTCACTCGAAGAATATGCAGACATCTGGACAGAGGGGTGAGTCTTCATAATCGATGCAGGCTGTATTGCACAGCTGTGAGGCATGGAGCTGCTAAACCATGAGGTCAGCTGTTCAAGCCCACCAGCCACTCCGTGGGAGAAAGAGGAAGTTGTGTGGTCCTGTAAAGATGGACAGGCTCAGAAATCTGATTGGGCTGCTGTGAGTCAGAATTGACTTGGTGGCAGTAGATTTTTGTGCTGCTTTGTTGTGGATGCACACAGCTAGGAATCCCTGGGGTGCATCAATGATTAACAGCTGGGCTGCCCCCCAGAATCTCTTGGAGGAAAGACCTGGGGATCCCCTTCTGAGAGATGAGTCATTGCAAACCCTGTGCGGCGCTGTTCTACTCTGACACGGGGGCACTGTGAGTTGGATTAACTCAGCAACAACGGTTGCTGTTATTTTTAATGTACCCAGTTATGCCCTAGATAGAACATTCCAGAAAACACCAAGTATTTCAAACATCCAGACTCACTCTCATACGTAACCAAACCAAACCAGACTTACTGCTGTCAAGTGAATTCCAACTCATTAGGACGCTATAGGGTTGAAATGCCCTTGTAGGTTTCAAAGACTGTCCATCTTGACAGGAGCAGACAGCCTCATCTTTCTCCCATGGAGTGGCTGGTGATTTTGAACTGCTGACCTTGCGGTGAGCCGCTCAAGTCATAACCAACTACATCGCAAAGGCTGTCCTCTTACACATGAGCCAAATGAAACTCACTGCCATCGGGTCCATTCGGACACACAGTGATCCCGTGGGGCAGGGCCGAACTGCCCCTGTGGGTTTCCGGGACCATAGCTCTCTACAGGAGCAGAAAGTCTCATCTTTCTTCCGAGAATTGGCTGGTGGTTTCAAACTAATGACCTTGCAGTGAGCAGCCCAACGCATAACCATCCACCAACAGGGCTCCTGGTACAGGTAACTACCCAACATCCAGACCGTGGGTCTGCAGCTAGATGTGGTTTCAGAAAAAACGAGAAAGAAAAGTCAACTGCTGAAACTTGAGATGAAATAGACTTCCTCAGTCAAACCCAAGTTCACTTTTCAGATGACCCCTGTGAGCCGATCCAGACAGGGAAATCAGCTTCAGTTAACGCCTTAGCCAGGCAGCAGGAGACACTCATCAACGCCATTCCCGCCCCCTTTCTAAGGTCTACTTAAATAAAAGATCGCTTGTTGAAATTCTCTGAAGGCTCTACACTCCATGCAGTTCAGTGCCTTTGAGTGGCTCCAAATTCAAAGCAACCTTCAGTAGTAGAGTGGAAGAGGACCGGCTTCCAGTTGGGGTGCAGCCTCCAAACACGTGGCTTCTAACTGAAGGGCCCATGGGGGAACCCACTGGCTGCTCCAAGGGAAAAAGCCATGCCCACCTGCTTCTGCAAAGACTGCAGCCTTGGAGCCCTGAGGGATGGGCCAGTTCTCTTCTGCCCCGTAGAGCCACCCCGAGGTGGAATCTGGTCGTGGAATCCATTAGTTTTGTTGGTTTTCATTTGTTTGCATATAAACATAGTGGTTGTGGAAGTAGATCACCAGCTGGCTCTCCCGTGGCGCTGATGTGTAAGTTCTCACTGCCCACTTTCAGTTAGTAGAGCTAACAGCTCCACTATGTGGGCCAACAGGGCTCCTTTTCTGCGCTTGATACAGCCTCCCACCTTTGTCTTGTCCCAAAGAGATGGTGGGTGACAGAGCCACACCGTTGCCGTGTTATCAAGGGCCCCTTTCTTTATCTCCTCAGGTGAAGAGTGTGACATTGACATAAATGAGTGTGACAGTAGCCCCTGCCACCATGCCGGAACCTGCCTGGACCAGCCCAATGGTTATACCTGCCACTGCCCACACGGCTGGGTGGGAGCCAACTGTGAAATCCGTGAGTATTTCTGCCACTCCTCAGTGGTTATTAAAGGTTACGTTCTCATCTGAATGCCCAGCCCTGATGGCTCATGTTGCAGATGATGCAGTGGGACCCCAGGGAACACTGGAGTCACCTGTGCCTCCCCACGAAGGACTGATGCTCACTGCCTTCTGTTCTTCCCACCACTTCCTGCCTCCGGCTCCAGCCTTCCCACCGGGGCTGAAGCGTGCAGATGTCCCCCAGCGTGCCCTGCCACTCAGACGGCCTAAAGTGTGCTCCAGAGAGAAGCATTCGCCACACATCATCCAATTGAGTCTCTGTGCTGAAAGCTTAAAAGAGCAACTCGAATGTGCATTCACTTCCCACATAGGTTCTTCACGGATCTCCAGATACTCCGGTTTCCATCTCTCACCCAGCCTGGGGAAAAGGCCAGGGAAGAAAAAAGCCTGAGAAATGTTCCCAGCAGCCTAGAGCTCCCGGTTCATCCCCGTTGTGTGTCCATCCCGTCCATGTCCATCTCAGTGTACCTTTGTCCCCTGCTGTATCAAAGCCAAAACATACCCGAAAAGCTCAAGGGCAATGTCAAAATAATGTTGAAAAAAATAATACAGATGAAGGCGCTTGTGGAAAAATTCTATGATCTTTTAATTCCCTGTTTCCACAAATGGTTGGAAGTCCCCTTGTATTTAATAATAATGATGAAAACTAGACAAATCGCATGTTGGGTTGATAACTATGATGCTGAGCAATATTTATTTGCATTTCTCCGGCATATTCCTTTTTGTGTTCTTTGCTACATTCATGATAAGTCACTGCTATTGTGCCGAAGCCACCCTGTAGGAAAGGATAGAAGCGCCCCTGCGAGTTTCTGAGACTGTAATCTTTACGGGAGGAGAAAGTCCCGACGTTCTCCCCCAGACAGAGTGGCTGGTAGTTTTGAACTGCTGACCTTGTGGATTGCAGTCCAGTGTCCAACCACTATGTCACTAGGGCTCCTCCATTCATGGTCAGACATCCGTCCTCCCAGGCGAGGTAGTTTCCAAAAAAGAAATGGAAAGATCTTGGAATTTTCCTCCAAACTTTGTGAAGCACTCTGAAACGAAGGAAAGGCGCTTTGGTGACATGATGGGTCACTCATTGGACTGTAACTCTAAGGCCAGCAGTTCGAACCCACCACCCACTCCATGGAGGGGGAAAGATCAGACTATCTGCCCCCATAAAGAGTGACAGCCTCAGAAGCCCAAAAGGGACAGTGCTACTGTGTCCTGTGGGGTCTCTATGAGTCGGAACCCACTTGATGGCAGAGGGGATCTACGATCAGTTAGCCATTAGTGTAGAGCCCTGGTGGCACCGTGGTTATATGTTGGGGTGGTAACTGCAAAGTCAGCAGTTCGAAACCACCAGCAGGAGAAAGATGAGGCTTTCTACTCCCATAAAGAGTTCCTATCTCAGAACCCCACGGGGGCAGTTCTGTCCTGTCTATCCAGTCTCTGTGAGTTGGCAGGGACTTGATGGCAGTAAGTTTGGTTTTGCTTTGGCGGTTCAACCATAGAAAATAATCCCTCGCAGTTTGGATGGCTCTTGGATTTTAAGTCATCAATGTCTTGGAGGGAAAAGCCCCCATCTGATAAAGTTCAGAACTCACATGCTGCTGTTTCGTTTACCCGCAGACCTGCAGTGGAAGTCCGGGCACGTGGCGGAGAGTCTCACCAACATGCCCCGGCACTCCCTCTACATCATCATCGGCGCACTCTGTGTCGCCTTCATCCTGATGCTCATCATCCTGATCGTGGGCATTTGCCGCATCAGCCGCATCGAGTACCAGGGCTCTTCCAGGCCGGCCTATGAGGAGTTCTACAACTGCCGCAGCATCGACAGCGAGTTCAGCAATGCCATCGCTTCCATCCGGCATGCCAGGTGGGCGGGTGGGCGCGGAGGAGGGAGATGCTGCTTTCTAAGTGGACATTCTGGGGACCAGGGTTCTATTAGCCATGGGACTTTACACCCACACAGGGATGGTTTTAATGAATGAAAACTTCAAAATGGTATGCGGCGACCCGTTAGTGTCCTGCCTTATTAGCAACCCCCTATTGGTTTGCTGCTAGCTTCTTGTTTGTATTGAATACAGACATTTTTCTTCATGAAGCTGAGCACCTCACCATGGTGTCACTAGGGCTCCTGCTAATTTGGTTTGTGTAGATCTGATTCTTCGTTACTGTCTATGAAACAATTTATGACCATCTCTTTGGGGAATGTCTTTCGTTGTGAATCCATTGGGTTCAAGGACTTGCTGTAAGAATCTGGACATCTGTCAGCTCACTGTTCATTGTGGTTGTTGTTGTGCGGGGGTGTTGAGTTGCTTCTGACTCATAGTGCCCCTGTGCACAATACAATAAGACACTACTAGTTTCTGAGCCCTCCTCACACTCCTTCCTACGTTCGAGCCCATTGTTGTAGGCCGCTGTATCAATCCATCTTGTTGAAGGTCTTCTTCGTGGCTGACCTCTACTTTACCAAGCATGAGGTCCTTCTCCAGGGACTGGAGAGACCACCTTGTTGTGGGGGGGCATACCCACCCAGACCTTCCTTACAACTCAGACCCCACACAGATGCTTCCTTCGGTAGTTCAACTCAGGACAGCTCAGCTTCCAGGAAACCCTTGTGCTAACACCTGCAAGGCCCAGGTTAATTGTTGATTGGTCCCTTCCTTCCACTAAACTAGTCTCCATCACGTTGACTCCCTACGTGTGGTGACTGGATGCCTTAGGGTTTTCGGTGATGGAGAGTATTCTTTGTTCCTGGAATTGCTGAGCTCCAGGAAGACACAGACCATGTGCCTTTCTAGAGCCCAGGACTTGGATTTCCATCCACCCCAGAGGCGTCTGTGGCTGGGATCCTTCAGGGCTAAGAGTATTTCCCTCCAGCTCCCAAAGAAGTGAGGAGCGATTCATCTGAGCATCCTGCCTGTATTTCCCACTGGCAGAAGAATTGGCTAGATTCTCTTGGAGGGAAAGAGCAAACTTGAAAGGCTTTCCAAATCTGGTTCTTATTCTGTGCTGGATTTGATCAAAAATATGGATGGCAGAATTCCTAACCAGCTAGCGCCAGATAGATGCATGCCTCAGGGACTGTAGATGCAACTACTGATGTTACAATGCTCCTGTCTCGCCTCCCTGGACTTCAGGGCTACATCGCCCCCGGCTGTTGAACCCAGACTCAGGCTGCTCTAGCAGGGCTGTGCACCAGCTCTGGCTGGGTCTCTGGTGGTTGGTGCCTTTCACTCCCCCTTTCTGGAAACTCTGGAAGATGCTGGCACAAGTGCCATCCTTTTGATACCACCCTCAACCTTGTTTCCAGCAGCGGCCCGTTCCTCGTATCCAGCTCACAACCTCTTTCCAGCTGTCTCCCTGGAGTGACCTTGCCTCCCAGTGACCATGTGAGTCACCGGTGATGTTCGCGTCTGGTCATTCTGACGTCAGTCGTCAACTCATGCCAGTGTGGGGAGGGAGAGCTCCCCACTCCCTCTTTGTCCCCAAGGTCATCTGCTCGGTAGCTGCTCTGCATGCAATCTGGCAGGCCAGAGGGAGTGAGCCTCCCCGGGTGTCTTTGTCATCTCCTGCTGTCTGATAGAAATGGTTACGTAATTGCTTGAACCCTACAGAGGAGCTCGGAAAGAGGAAAAGACTGGGAATTCTCAGAAACCCTATGGGACAGTCCTGCCCCATCCTGCACGCCCGCTATGCGCTGAAAACGGAGTCGATGGTACCGAGCAATAACCAGCTCACAATGGAAGCACCACCCGCTGAGGCTTACCTTTGCCGTTCGGAAGCTGGAAGTTGAATTCAGGGGAGGCTTCGCTCCATGTCCGAGCGGGGGCAGGGTCCAAGCCTCTTTGCAGCTTGTGGTCCTCGGTCTTCGTGGGCTGTGGCCTGTCTCTGCCTCCGTTGGTCCTTGCTGGATTCTCTGCGTTTCATCATATCTTAAACACGATGCATTGAAGACACAGCCTACACTGAGACAGTTTCATGAACACAACAAGGAAAAGCGTATTCCCACGTGGGTATTTTCCGAAGGTCTCCCACCTAAGGAAGGACTGAGAAGAGAGATGGGATGGGAGGCCAGCCCTGGTGCAAACAGTCCTCTTTCACCCCCCTTCCCCCCAGGAAGCACTCGAATGAATGAACCCACTGGCATTTGAAACAGTTAACAAAACAAAACAGTGCTCTTACACAGTGGGGAGAAGTTGGGGGGTGGGCTAGTGGGGAAGGTTGTGGCACTCAGGAGAGGCCTCTCAGAAGGCGTCTCTGCTTCATTTGAATTGTCGCCCTTGAAGAAGGCTGGGCTGCAGGACCGCCCAGGCAAGAGTGTGACTCCCTGGACTTTTGACCATCAGTCTTCCTGTTGAGGGAATTTTGCTATCTGCACATCTGTTGGGACAATGGCTTTGTGCACAGAGGAAAACAACGGTGTGTGTGTGTGTATTGTGATGGTCGGTGGGATTCAGGGTGGGCCCCAGCACATTTGGGGCACCATCCCCTCCTTATTCGAAGCCCTTTCTTTCCTCGGTCCTTGTCCTCTGGGAGGACCTATGTGGCTGAGTGGCTGTCCAAGTAGAACAAAGCCCGCCCTGCAATCCTGCGTGTATTCTAGAAGCCATCCTGGATGTAAAATAAACCTGCCTCTCCAAATATTTATGGCTCTCAGTAAGAAAAAACCAAATCGATACATGCTTTCTCGGAGCCTGGTGTGGAGCGTTCATGCCTGAATGCTTGGCCAAGGTTTCGCCTAGAAGTGTCAACATCCATTTGGGCAACGGTCTCGGAGAAATCCATTTATTTTATTCCCTCCGGTGCTGAAGACTAATATTTATCCTCTTTCCAGGTTAAGTCTCGGAGTGTCTTAAGTCCCTGCACTAGCCGGGGAGCCCGGTCTCAGCGTATTTGGACAGTTCCAGTGGCTTCTTGAATCTAAGTTGCTTTTTACCGCCCAAGATCGGGTCTCACTAACCAGCATCTCCTGTCCATGTGTTTCCAGGTTTGGGAAGAAATCCCGGCCGGCGATGTACGACATCACCCCCATCGCCTACGAAGATTACAGCCCTGACGATAAGCCCTTGGTCACACTGATTAAAACAAAAGATTTGTAATCTTTTTTGGGGGGTGGGATTATTTTTCAAACAAGATGGGTTACTTCAGTCATTTAAATATTTTTCAGAAAAATAACAAAGCTTAAAGAAAACGTTCATCCTAGCTGCTGGGGAGTTGTCCGTAGATGATGGAAGAACTCACTTCCTGCAGCTTGTAGTGTTTGGGGTGGGACCTGTTTTACAAAGGGGGTTTGTGGAGTCTGTAGACAGTGTTTTCAATGTGCTTTCAGCCCTCTAAACCGTATGCTTCTAGTAGCGTGTATTAACTTCCCCCAGTAGGTACATCCACAAAACCCAGATTCCGTTTCTGTGGTTGGTACAGACTTTGTCTCATCAAGGAGAAGTTTCTAGTTGATATACAAGTGGCTGGCTTTCTGAGTAGAGTTAGGATACAAAAAAACAAAACAAAAACAAAAAGCCTTGTAGAGTATGATCCATTATACAGTATACCTGTTACTTACAAAGAAGTCTGAAAATGTTTGTTTTGTGGAAAATAAAATTTAAAAAGAATTTTAAGAGAAGCTAGTTAAATGTATTATCCCTAACCTGAATGAAATGAACCATTGCCTCATTCCATGCATGGTTTAAATAAGTTCTTTCTGCCCAGTTTGTTTGAACCTGAGGAAACATTCTTTTGAATTTGTTGGGGTTCCTTTTTCTTTCTTGTCATTTTGCAGAACAGTCGTCAAACTAGGCATGGGGGTGGGGTTGGGGTTGGAGGTGGGGGTGCGGGGGAGATACTGCGTGGAAGGACCAACGGCAAGGGGAATTGCGATGGTGCCGGCTCTCTGGGTTTCTTGAAGAAATCAAGGTTGGAGATGTCCATGGCAGAAGGTAGTAGCTGTGAAGAGAACCCTGATCCCTGAGAAATGTGTACTGCTCATAGTTGTATCTTTACTTATATCCGGGGCGATTCCGTGACTGTGTTTGATTGATGTGTGCTTCATCCAATTCTTGCTACTCTCAAAGAATACTGAATAAATGTTATCAAGTCAAGTCAAGGATGCAATGGTCTCCTTCCTTCTTTTCAAAGGGTGGAACACGTTTTGGATTGGTATTGATTGCCCTTCACTTCCCCTTTCCGTCCCCCCCACAAAAAAAAATCCTTCTGCTTTTACCTTTCCAATATTACAGGGTGGACATCTCTTGATTCCCTCGGAGTTGGGGGTGAAAACAAGGGGCATAAGCAGTTTTTAATTGGTTGCTGCCATGTCATGAATTATTTAATATGATTCTTCTTCCTCCCACCAAATGAGCTGCATGTACCAGTCTGGATAAGAAGGTGGGAGAAGATGCTGACTCCATTGTGTGAGTCACTGTGAGCGAGCGGCCACAGGGTTGACTGTGCTCGCCATCCTGTTGGGTATCAAAAATTAGCCCTCTCAAAAACAGGAAGAGGCGATCTCACGACCAGTAAGAGAAGAGCCAGGAGTGGAGCAAGTCCTTTGGACCCTGAGATCCCTGTGCATTGAGTCCCCTCGATCCAGGAGACAGCCGTGACTTCAGAGGAGTGGGAGAAGAGAAGCAGCCACAGAATTCAGAGAGATGGGGGTGACTTCTCAGCCCTGAGAACAAGTGAAGCTGAGTGCTCTGGTGCAGGAGGCTGGCTTGTGCACTGGGAGGCCTCTGGGCACTTCACTCGGGGAGCTGGGTTGGCTGAGCCACGGAGCTGGGGCTGAGTGTCCTTTAGGTTGATGCTTACAGCACAGAGGCATTTTGGGGGAACCCTAAAGAGCTTTGTCACATTTCCTGAACAGGACAGAGGCCAGGTCAAGAGACTAAAACTGGAAAGAGGTCTGTGTAAGGCCGAGCATCTGTGCTGACCAAAAACTGTATCCTGAGCATATCTCACCTGAGTGGTAACCTATTACCTTCCCTAACAGACCTCTAATCGTGAGCACCGTCTGTGGGTTTGGTGTGGCCACTGCAATGAATTACTGAACCCAGCCACCGAAGTACAGTGCTGTGAGAGGAGAGCTGGTGCCAGAATAGGGTCAAAATGAACAGTCTGTCTCACCCCCGCCTCCTGGCAATTGGCCTTGGGAGCCAGAGAAGATCGGAGGACTTCCCTGCAGCTTTTGAAGCTGGTAGCCAACACGGTGGAGAGTTGGACCCATGCAGTGACTCTGGCGAATGGGTGGGTTTCTGTAAAGATGACAGTCAAAGCACAACGAACCACAACAACACTGTGAAGCAGTTGTACTCTGTGACACGTTGGCTGCTGTGTGCTGGGGTCCGACCCAACTGCAGCTAGCACAACAATAGGAATCGCACATATCTCGGGGCTGCGGGGCCTTTCCCTGCCCCTTCTCTGAGCTGCCCTGCTTTCCTCACTCAGAAACCAAACTTGCTGTCATTGAATTAGTGCTGACTCATCGTGACACCCTGTGGGTTTCCAAGACTGGAATTCTTTCAAACAAACTCACTGCCATCGAGTCAATGCTGACTCATAGTGACCCTCTGTGGGTTTCCAAGAGTACAACTGTTGACAGGAGCAGAAAGTCCAGTCTTGCTCCCTCAGAGATGCTGGTGACTTCAAACTGCCGACCATGTGGATGACAGCCCAGTGTGTAACCACTGCACCACCAGGGCTCCTGTCCTGATCTCCTAGTCATCTTGAAGCAAGGCAGAGAAACAGTCCTAGCTGCCTGTGGGTGTGAAAACCCAAATGTCCCCAATTCATGATGACTTCATGGGTGCTAGGGTAGACCTGTGCTTCACAGGGTTTCGAGTGCCAAGTTTTCTGAGAGTAGATCACCAGGCCTTTCTTCCGAGGTGCCTCCGGATGGACCTGAGCCTCCAACTTTTTTTTTTTTAATTTCAAATCATTTTATTGGGGCTCATACAGCTCTTAGCACAATCCATACATACACATCCATTGTGTCAAGCACATTTGTATATTTGTTGCCATCATCATTCTCAAAACATTTTCTTTCTACTTGAGCCCTTGGTATCGGCGCCTCATTTTTCCCCCTCCATCCCTCATGAACCCTTGATAATTTATAAATTATTATTTTTTCATGTCTTACACTGACCAATGTCTCCCTTCACCCACTTTACTGTTGTCCATCCCCCTGGGAGGAGGTTATATGTAGATCATTGTGATCAGTCTCCCCTTTCTCCCCCACCTTCCCCTTACCGTCCTGATATCGCTCCTCTAAATATTGGTCCTGAGGGGTTTATCTGTCCTGCATTCCCCGTGTTTCCAGTTCTTATCTGTACCAGTGTACATCCTCTGGTCTAGCCAGATTTGTAAGGTAGAATAGGGGTCATGATAGTGCGGAGGAGGAAGCATTAAAAAACTAGAGGAAAGTTGTATGTTTCATCAGTGCTATACTGCACCATGATTGGCTCATCTCTTCCTTGTGACTCTTCTGTAAGGGGATGTCCAATTGTCTACATATGGGCGTTGGGTCTCCACTCTGCACTTCCCCTCATTCACATCGACATGATTTCTTGTTCTGGATCTTTAATGTGTGATACCTGATCCCACTGACACCTCATGATCACATTGGCTGGTGGATTTTCTTCCATGTGGACTTTGCTGCTTCTCAGTTAGATTGCTGTTTGTTTAGCTTCAAGCCTTTAAGACCCCAGATACTATATCTTTTGATGGCCAGGCACATCAGCTTTCTTCACCACATTTGCTATGCACCCATTTTGTCTTCAGTGATCATGTTGGGAAGGTGAGCATCACGGATTGCCAGGTTATTAGAGCAAAGTGTTGTGTTGAGGGAGTACTTGAGTAGAGGCCCATGTCCGTCTGCTACCTTGATACATAGCATATAAATAGATGTATATAGATCTATTTCTCTATCATTATATATAAATATATTTACATATGTACATGCCTGTATTTAGACCTCTATAAATGCCATTTGCCTCCTAGTTCTTTCTTCTATTTCCTTTTACTTTCCTCTTGTCCCACTATCATGTTTGGCCTTCATTTGGGTTTCAGTAATTCCTCTCTGCTCCATTGCCCTTGGTCAAACTCTACCAGCCATCCTACACCCTCCTTGTCATCGATTTTAGATCACTTGTTGTTCCCTTGTCCCTGGGTTTGTTAGCACCCACTTCCTTTTCCCCACCTCCTTCTCTCCTGTGTCCCCACAGAACCATCAGTTCCATTGTTTTCTCCTCATGATTGTTTATCCCCCCTATCTTATCTAGGTAGACATGCAGAAACAATAATAAGCATGAAAACAATGCAGAGCAAAACAAAACAAATAAGCAACAACAACAAAAAGAAAATCCTATAAATAGTTCCAGGTTTACTTGTTGACCTTTAGGCGTGTTTTCCTGAGTCTAATCAGGTGCCATGCCCTGGCCCCACAGTCTATTTTTGGTATTCCCCAGGGATTTCATTGCTTTGCTCCCCTTCCTGTTCTGTTGCACACCTTTAGTATTTTGCTCTGGTGTGGTGGGCTCAGATTGGGCACAATTCCTGCACTGTGTCTCCAGAGTTGTCCCTCTTATTGCTTTGGGTCAGTGAGGGACATCGTGTCTCATGGTGGGGCTGGTCCTACAGCCCCCTCTGTGCATTACCCTTGGGGCTTGGTGGGCCAGGATGTGTTCCACTCTCTCTCCTTCTCTCTTCCTTTGCTCCTGTGTGCTCTGATCCGATGCACCCCTCTCCCTGAGCTGTAGCTTCAGTACTGTCCTTTGAGCCTTTGAGTGAATTCTTCTGGGGGGTGGGGGGGTTGTCCACATAGTTGGTATTGGGGCTGGTCTCAGAAACTCCAATCTTTCAGCTGTTACCTGTTTGCAGGGACTGTAAACATGGAGGGTGGGGAACAATGATAACATAAGAGTTCTCACTGTTAACTTTATGTGCAAATTGCATGCGCATTTGAGCCCCTTAGAGATCCAGAGGTGTCACAGGTGAGCATGTGTGGCTTCAAGAAACATCTTCGTAAAGAAAATTGTGTGTCCGTGAGAAGAGGCCTTAGGAAAGAGCTGCTTGGGCCACAGGGATTTTAAGGCAGCCCAGAGTCCCCTGTACTCAATTCCATGTGACATCCCAACACTGGAAAATTCCAGACTGGTCTTAGAAATGTTTACCTTCCCATGGGACTGCTGGAGAAGGCCTTGAGAGGCCCAGAGGCCAGGTGCAAAGGAGGGGTTGGAGCACAAAGGATGATTGAAGAAGAGTTTCCTTCTCAAGAATGGAGGGCATTGAGACTGCACTTTGTTTGGACATGCTATCAATCCCTGGAGAAGGACATCATCCTTGGTCAAGTTGAAGGTCATCCAAAATAGAGGAAGACCTGAAGGACATGGATGGAGCCAGTGGGTGCAGCAGAGCAATTGTGGCTCAAAGATAACGATTGTGAGGTCGGCTGAGCAGCAGGTCGTATGTCGTTCTGTAGTACGTGGGGTCGCTGAGAGTTGGAGCTGACTCCGGAGCACCCAACAAACAACCACCACCCTCAAGACATCTGTCCTCAATCAGGCAAATGACACAGCAGTGCGCCCACACGCCGATGAGGAAAGGATGCTGTGCAGTATGTTAATGGTTTCAGTTTGTTGAAATGTTTGCAAACGAAATAAGAACAAAGTATTGCACGCGGCTTGAGCAGCCATGGAGACACGCTCACCGGAGTGTCCTGCAAACTGTATTTACTTCCATCTGCCTGCAGAAGACTTTTGGAGATGATGCAGTGAAGAGCCTTTGTGGCGACAAGGAGATGGCCTAGCAACAC